TACATATACACACATATGCATATATGTATGTGTATATATACATGTATATATACACATACATATATATACTGAAAGTTCATATATATATATATATCCTACACACACACACACACACACACACATATATATACTGAAAGTTTATATATATATATATATATACTTTCAATTCTGGGATACATGTGCAGAATGTGCAGGTTTGTTACATAGGTATACATGTGCCATGGTGGTTTGCTGCACCCATCAACCCATCATCAACATTAGGTATTTCTCCTAATGCTATCCCTTCCCAATCTCCCCACCTCACAACAGGCCCCAGTGTGTGATGTTCCCCTCCCTGTGTCCATGTGTTCTCATTGTTCAACTCCCACTTATGAGTGAAAACATGCAATGTTTGGTTTTCTGTTCCTGTGTTAGTTTGCTAAGAATGATGGTTTCCAGCTTCATCCATGTTTCTGCAAAGGACATGAACTCATCCCTTTTTTATAGCTGTATAGTATTCCATGGTGTATATGTACCACATTTTCTTTATCCAGTCTATCATTGATGGGCATTTGGGTTGGTTCCAAGTCTTTGCTATTGTGAATAGTGCTACAATAAACATATGTGTGTATGTGTCTTTACAGTAGAATGATTTATAATCCTTTGAGTGTATACCCAGTAACGGGATTGCTGGGCCAAGTTGCATTTCTGGTTTTAGATCCTTGAGGAATTGCCATACGATCTTCCACAATGGTTGAACTAATTTAAACTCCCACCAGCAGTGTAAAAGAGTTACTATTTCTCCACATCCTCTCCAGCATCGGATGTTTCCTGACTTTTTGATGATCACCATTCTAACGGCATGAGATGGTATCTCATTGTGGTTTTGATTTGCATTTCTCTAATGATCAGTGATGATGAGCTTTTTTTCATATGTTTGTTGGCCACATAAATATCTTCTTTGGAGAAGTGTCTGTTCATATCCTTCACCCACTTTTTGATGGGGTTGGTTTCTTTTTCTTGCAAATTTGTTTAAGTTCTTTGCAGATTCTGAATATTAGCCCCTTGTCAGATGGATAGATTGCAAAATTTCCTCCCATTCTGTAGGTTTCCTGTTCACTCTGATGATAGTTTCTTTCGCTGTAACAGAAGCTCTTTAGATCCCATTTGTCGATTTTGACTTTTGTTGCCATTGCTTTTGGTTCCCAACACCATTTATTAAACAGGGAATCCTTTCCCCATTACTTGTTTTTGTCAGGTTTGTCAAAGATCAGATGATTGTGGATGTGTGGTGTTATTTCTAAGGCCTCTACTCTGTTCACTGATATGTTCCAGGTGTCCAGTGTTGTTCTTGGCATAAAGTAGGGCTCCACAAAATACTTGTTGAATACTATATATTCCAGAAAGAAAATACAGAGAAGGAGTTTGCCAAGGAAATCGTAGAAGCACATGTTCTGAAACTGAAGGATCGATCACCAGATCCAAATGGCCTACTGAGTACCCAGAAAACTGAAAGAGACAAGGCCCAGCAGGGCATGTCACTGAAACTTCAGGATGCCATTAGCAATGAAAAGCACCAGAGGTTTACAGAGAGGACTAAGAAAGAATGGCACTGAATTTCACAACAAGTCCAAAGCTAGAATATAATGGAAAAATGTCTTTAAAACTGTAAGGAAAATTTTTTCCAACGTATAATTCTATGCCTTGCTAAACTATCAATGAAATGTGAAGGTAAAATAAAATCATGCAAAGGCTTTACAATTTCCTTTCACCACCTCTTTCTTAGGAAGTTCCTGAGGGATGTGCTCCACCAAAGTAAGGGATTAAACCATGAAAGAGAAAGACATGGGTTCCAGAAAACAGGAGCTCCATCATCAAGGATGGTCAAAGGGAATTCACAGGGCAGAGAGGAAGGGAAGTCTAGAACCACACCTGGGCAGCAGACCCAGCGAGTAATCAGTCCAGATTGGAGCAGGACAGCAGAGAGGTCACTGTAAATAAACTTTTTTAAACCTGAAAATATGTGTACGTGTTTATAATAATGTAAACATCTTTTTTTTTTTTTCTGAGACAAGGTGTCGCTCTGTTACCCAGGCTAGAGTGGCATGATCATGGCTCACTGTAGCCTTGAAATTCCAGACTCAAGTGATCTTCCCTCCTTTGCCTCCTGAGTATCTGAGTCCACAGAGATACATGCCACCAAACCCAGCTAAGTTTTTGTTTTTCATAGAGATGGAGTCTCCCTATGTGGTTCAGGCTGGTCTCAAACTCCTGGGCTCAAGTAATCCTCCCACACTGGCCTCCCAAAGTACTGGTATTACAGGTGTGAGCCACCATGCCCATCCCAACATCCAATATTGATTTAACTTTAATTTGAGAAATGCCCATATTAGGATGTAGAGAATAGAAGCAGGAAGGGTAAAAGAAAACTAAAGCCTCTTAGTCCACAGTAAAAAGTAAAAAGATAAAGATGCTTATGATTGAAAAACTAATAAATTCCAGTGTAGCATATTAAGTTGTTGTGCAGAGATAAATAAGTGGGGAGAAAATCAGCACTTCCTGTAGGGGAAAGACCTGTCGATGAGGTGGAGGAGCAGGAGGCTGCTGTTTCTCCTTATGCATGTTAAGTGCTACTTGACTTTGAAGTTATGGCATGCATTATGTTGTGAAAATACAAATACAATTTGACAACAGAAGAGGAAGGAGGAAGAGGAAGGGATGTGATAACAACTCAAGTACGGTCCTTCCAGCTGACCATTAACCATGTTGGTTGGAGAGGGAGCGTGCACATCCTCAATCCCTCAACCTCTCCCAGAGAGATGCAGGGCCCATGCTGTGTCCAGGTAGCTTAGTAGGATCATGCTGGGCATCAGCAACACTGTTTTTGTTCTCCATCTCTGTGCTTCATCCCTGGCAATCATTGGAAAGCTTCGAAAATGCTTTCAAAAACTTAGATCCTATGACCTAAACTATTTGGAGGACCCTCTCTGAGAAAAGTAATGCAAAAGAAGATATCTAAAAGCAGTTATGAAAGTGAATGTTTATTCAGAATGAAAAAACAGATTAAAATAAATTATAATTTTTAAAACGCTGCTAAGTACCAGAAGCCTACAAAGCCCCTCAGATGACAAAATATTTTATTCATTTACTACCTGATGCATCTCTATAATATTTTCTTCTACATTGTTTTGGCTGCACAACCTTTGATCACTTCTCCATATGACAATTTTGTTGTATTTTCCATAGAAATAAATAGAGAAAATAACTCCTACTCTTTCCTCTAGCAGAGTTGATTGAAATCTATGTTCTCCAATCAGTTGTGCAGAAAAGCTTCTCTCTGATTTTGCAACTGATTATTGGTAAAGTCACGTACATTTTTAAGATTACTGTCCTAAATTTTAAGCATCTCTATCAAGCTTCTGCTTTTTTTATTCATAAACTGCTATAGACACTTTGCTTTTGTAGTACTGCTTCTGACTTGCCTACAAACTCAGAGATAGATGTTGCGGCATGTGATTCTCATCAGTTCAGGAAAGAAAAACACATATAGTATGTTAAAATCATCTATGCTGCATTTTCCAGTATATTCCTGACAGGAAAGAACTTGTATTTTGACTAATCTTCTTTGACAACTGAATTTTCTACTTACTGAGTTCCATAGACTATCTTCCAGCTCCAAACATGTCAAACCTTGTTTATCCTCCACTCTCCTTTTACTTAAGGACATTGTCATGTCATGACATGGCCTCTGTCTCCTGTACCTTCCTGTCACAGCTCCCACTGAGTCAGCACATTGGGCAATAGGAGTATTCTCAGCAACAGCTTAACTCTACCTGGAACAGGCTGCAATACACACAGACACATCCCGCTAAACCCAAACTAAATGAATCTCCCGTGTAACTCCCCAGAAATGCATGGGCACACAATGCCATTGACATATGAGGAAGATGATGGAGGGAAATCAGAAATGGGTGGAAGAGAACAGGGTCTTAACTGATGGTGGTTCAAATATCTCCTACAGATTTTACAGAAATCATACAACCTTAAAAACCTAGTTGTAGGGCCTTAGAAGGGCTGAGGCAAGTGGTGCGGGCCCTACCATGTAAGCTTCATTCCCTCTAGTTGGTGCTCAGGCAGGAAACAGACCAAAGTGCCAGTCCCTCCACCACAATGGAAAACCATTATACACCTCTTCCCTGAGGATCCCAGGAGCTTGAGGACAGTGAAGGGACAGGGCTGGTATCTGGCTCCCCAGAGCTGACCTTAGCTATGTGGCTTGAGCAGGGTGAGTAGGGGGCAAGGAAGGAGTATTCATATCAGCATCACCCTGGGAGTTCTTTCCCTGCTTGCTGGCAACGGATGAGGTGTGAGTATGTATGTGTGTGTCATGGGAGAGGGCAAGAAAGAAAGGAAAATCCATCTAACTTTTCTGGCCCCCAACAGCTACTAGTAGGCACCAAAGATGGTCTCTTCTGACATTGAATCTTAGTTTCCCATCACCAAGATAATCAACTCATTTACGTATGACCATGTTTTCTAAGCACAGCCCTCTCTCCTTTATGTGCATGTATGTATGCATCCTGTGAATTGTAACCACAACAGATGGCCCCAAAGAGCACTTTGGATCTGCCTCTCCCATCATCAGTTATATGTTCAAAAGAAATAAAAATTAATATTACTGGTAAACCAAGTAAAATATAGATCAACTGGTGGACCAGTTTAAGGCATAAAGGTAACGTAACATAACATATCCCAAAGTCAAACAGAAATTATTCTTGAAAATCTCCTGTTGGCTTTGGGCTCTTGGTGGAAGGAACATTTTTAGAGGCCTACTTTGTGCCACTCATATTGTCTCCTTTAATCCTCACAATACTCCTGGGAGGAAGTATTTTTATTCAGATTTTGCAGATGATGACACAAGACCATAGTGGAGAAGAATAGCAGGAAGTGTCGGGCCTGAACGAGAGGACACAGCAAACAAGGGTCATATAACTCTCAAGCTTGTTTTTTCTCTACTCAAGATTGATAACTGAAAACCCCAGAGCCTCAAGCTCCCCCAATGGCCAGAGTCTTCCTTACCTAAGTGCTCGTCATGCAGAACTGTTTCACTGGGCACCTGGGCCCTAACTGGAAGCAAAGAGAGACTTTTCTTCAGAACCCAGCGAAACACCTTTCTTGGACTTCACAGGCTCCTCCATGTTTATTGACTAAGCCAGGCATCCAATCAACATATTTTGTTATTTTCCAGAAGATTTACCACTACCTGTAGAGGTGAACCCCTAAGCTGGAACTGTCAGTAGAAAACTTATTTTAGAAGTACCTCGAGGCTGGGCGTGATGGCTCACGCCTGTAATCCCAGCACTTTGGGAGGCCGAGACGGGCGGATCATGAGGTCAAGAGATTGAGACCATCTGGCCAACATGGTGAAACCCCATCTCTAAAAAAATTTTTTTAAATAAAAAAAATAAAAATAAGTACCTTAACGCTCCATTTTGCAAACTGTACATTAAAGAGCAAGGAAGGTCAATTGTGCCGTGTATGGGGTGCACTAAATCTCAGAATTCACCCCTATATAATTCATCCATATAACCGAAAACCACTTGTATCCTAAAAACTACTGAAATATATATATATATATAATATAATAAATACACACACTTTTTTTTTTTGACCCAGGGTCTCACTGTGTCACCCAGGCTGGAGTGAAGTGCCATAATCATAGTTCACTGCAGCTTCAACCTCCCAGGTTCAAGCAATCTTCCAACCTCGCCTCCTGAGTGGCTGGGACTACAGGTATATGCCACCACACCTGGCTAATTTTTGTATTTTTTTTTTTGTAGAGACAGTGTTCTGACCAAGTTGCTCAGGCTGGCCTCCAATTCCTGGGCTCAAGCAATCCTCCTTCCTCTGCCTCCCAAAGTGCTGGGAGTACAGGAAATATATATATATTTTAAAAGAAATATAGGCCAGACGCAGTGGCTCATGCCTGTAATCTCAGTATTTTGAGAGGACAAGGTGAGCGGACCACCTGAGGTCAGGAGTTCAGCCTGGCCAACATGGTGAAACCCCATCTCTACTAAAAATATAAAAATTAGCTGGGCATGGTGGTGGGTGCCTTTAATCCCAGCTACTTGGGAGGCTGAGACAGGAGAATTACTTGAACCCAGGAGGTAGACATTGCAGTGAACCAAGATCATGCCACTGCACTCCAGTCTGGGTGACAGAGCGAGACTCCATCTCAAAAAAAAAAAAGGAGAGAGAGAGAAGTATAAAAAAGAAAAAAAAAATCTACTCTAAATTCTGTCATCCCAATACAAATACTGTTAACATTTTGATGAATATCCTTCTGGATATTTCTCTATGTGTCTACATTATTGTCTATCTAAAAAACGAAGAATGAATGTTGCATTTTCTCCAGCATCTCTGGAGTCCTTTAAAATGTTCAAAAAATCTATTGAGCATTTTCCATATTGACCTAATGAAATAATGAAAAAAGAGTATTTGTCTAAATATTTATCAATCTACATATTCCGTACAAAAACTGCTGTTGGATTTAAAAGAATAGCGTCAAGTATGATGAATTTTTTAAAAGCGTTCTCATTTTTGAGCCATTTTAAATAAATACAGGCATTGTTTTCACTCTGTACTCCTAGGAAGCAGTCAGCCTAACATTTGCTTCCTCTCTGAGGTCACATATCTGAAAGCTGACATTTCTTGCTTGCATGACTGGGAGTTGTTTCCAAAGGAAACCGCAACATTCCTAGCCTGCAGGCAGCTGTGGTAGCCACAGACAACTGGGAATTATTCAGTTGCAGTGAAGCAGGTTAGGGAGACTCTTCCAGCACGCCCCTCACACAGAGGGGTGCATGGATTCTTTTCAAATGAAGACTCAGGGTCCATGAGCCTAGTTATAGAGCAGCAACCCTCCTGGGGCTTTTGCTGTCTATTGAGTGGGCAGTGCTGGGCCTGAAGAGGGGAAGGGGCCTGGGGTACTAGTCTTTTGATTCTGCCAAAACTTTAGAGACATTTCTTGAAGAATCAGCATACTATCTCTCTCTCTCTCAGAAAAAAAAAAAAAAAAAAAGACACATAAAACACATGGCAGGAAATGAAGACTGTTGCTGGGTTTTCTCCCACAATCTTGTATACTTATTTTAGGCTCTATGGCAGACAAAATGTCCTTCACCTGTCTGTGCTATTCATCATTCCTGACCCAGGCCTGCAAGCTTCAAGCTTTCGATAACCTTTTCTTTCTTTTTTTTTTTTTTTTCTGAATTAGGGTCTCACTCTGTTGCTTAGGCTGGGTGCAGTGGCACGATCATAGCTGGCTGCAGCCTCCATCTCCACAGGCTCAAACGATCCTCCTGCCTCAGCCTCTAGAGTAGTTGGGATTATAAGCACGCACCTGCATGCCAAGCTAATTTTTTTAATTCTTAATAGAGATAAGGTCTCATTATGTTGCCCGAGCAGGTCTTGTACTCCTGAGCTCAAGTGATCCTGCTGCCTTGGCCTCCCAAAGCGCTGGAATTACATGGGAGTGTTTTTGATGACTTTTTAAATGACAAAAATAATCATCACTTTTGAGTGACAGCTTTCTCTTGGGCAACACAAAGAGTTATATCCTTCTGGTTAGGCCTGGCCTTTTTCCATGAATCCCTAAATTTCATTCCCCACAGGACTGTCGTGTAGCGTCAGTGCCTGTGTCTCCCCATCTCCGAGCATCTTCTCTCCCTCCCAGTGCCCCATCATCCTCATACCAATAGAAGCCCAAGCCTCTTCTGATGACCCCCAAAGCAGAGCACAGGAGCTGCTCCTAGAGCCCTGGTGCTCCAGACCCAGAGGCCTGGACCTCACTTATGAGCTGTTTAAAAAACACAGGGTCCTGGAGCCCAGCCCATACAACCTGCTAAGTTGGAACCTGCATTCTGATGAGACTTTAGGTTTGTGAAGCACTGGTCTACACTATTCTCCTGGACGTCATTTGAGCTTTGTCTCTTCCAACTTGCCTGTGACCTGGGGCAGGTCAGGACACTTCTCTGGGCCTCATTTTCTCATTTGCAGGAGGAGGAAGTAAAGCCCCTCTAGGGGACAGTGTGATAAAGAGAGGTGGCTGTGGACTCAGGCCACTTGCTGCACCACTGGGTCAAGTGATTCAACCTCTCTGCCCCTCAGTCTCCTCATCCACAAAACAGCAATAGTAAGTATCCAACTGTTAGGACTGCCATGAATGTGGAGTGAGAACATCTGAATTTCTACGGCTGCTATAAAAAAATTACCACAAATGTGGTAGCTGAAAAACCACACAAATTTTTTAATCTTACAGTTCTGGAGGTCAGAAGTCTGAACTGGGTTTCACTGGGCTAAGATCAAGGTATCAGCAGGGCCAGGAGGTTCTAGGGGAGAATCTATTTCCTTGCTTTTCTAGCTCCTAGAGGCTGCCTGCATTGCTTTGGCCTGTGGCCCTCTTCCATCTCAAAAACAGCAGTGACCAAGTCCTCAAGTCGCATAACATCACATCCCATCACTCCAACCTGTGCTCCTGTCCTCGCAGCTCCTTCTCTGACTCTCCTGCCAGCTACTGTCACTTGAAAGGAAGCTATGATGACATTGGGCCCACTTGGATAATCCAGGACACTCTCCCTGTCTGACGGTCAGCTATTAGCAACCTTAGTGTCTTCATTGCTGTGTAACAGAGCATATTTATAGGCTACAGGGATTGGGGTATAGACGTCACTAGGGGGACATTATTTTACCCACCACACATAAAAGGACTGCTTCTGTCCCTGGAAAGTAGCACATGATAAATGTTAGCTGTTTTCTTGTGTTCTGTGATTCTGAAGACAGCCTGCCCCACCATGCAGGAGCAGAGCACAGGACTAGTTGTGTTTTTACAATGAAGTGACCAAGACATTGTCACTAGAAGCCTTCTCTTGTTCTGTCTTGTCTTATGCTTTCTAACTTTGCCTGCTGTGACTGGAAACACATGGGTAAGCAAGCTAGTGACTCTGGCAAGCTAGTCTCAGTGACTCACCCACCGTTCCATGTCTAAAGAGTGAGAAACCTTTATGTATTAACTATTGATGGTTGCTAAGTTATAGCCTCACTATGCAGTTATGGCATCCACTGCACCCATTTATCTGAATTCTCTCCTACAGACCACACACTCTCTAGCTAGTGCATTCATTCATGCATACATGCACTCATTGACACAGGAAACATTGAATGCTCATCATGTGCTAAGCGCTGGAGAGACAACAGGGATAAGCAGTGCTATGGGCCTCCCTGCTGAGATGTTTTGGGAGCTACCATTGGGATTCAGAGGAAGGCTGAATGGCCCGGAGTCCCCCAGATCTTGCTTCAACAGAGCAGCATCAAATTTTTCTATTTTATATACTGGGGTTCATGTTAGATTTTGTTTGAAAACAGTGTCTTCTTCCTAGTGCCTGGCACACTGTAGGCACTCATCAATGCAAGTGTCTGGGGACCGCTGGCTCAGGACATCAACTGCTGATGCTCTGGGATCCCCACTTCAGGCTTCTTTGTCCCTAAGCCTGGAAGCTCCTTTCTCCCCAGGCTCTCCCTCCTCCTTGACCTTTATCGGCCTTGATTTCTGATTTATTGATGTATTTATTGCTATTTCTGAGCCACATATTTTACTCTACTTCTGCTATTTCTGGAGCACATTTGGTCATTCCTACCATCCTTCTTTCTCCTGTTAGCTAAATCCCAGCTCATCATCATAATTGCATTCTGCAATCCGCTGTGACTTCTCCTGCCTTCCCCAACTCCAATATTTCCCTTCCCAACCCCAGCCCACCTTTCCCTGGGGGAGAGGAGTCATGCTACCTGCCCCATCCCAGCCCGCCCTCTCTTCTCTTATTACCACAGGGCAGTGCAAATATCTAACACTCTCACACAGCTCTTTTTACCCTAAGGCATTTGAAATTACTTAAATTAAGCTGCCTCATTATTTATTTTCAACAGCTTCTAATCATACCTTTTATTTATATTTCTTTAGAGTTCACAAAGCTCTTTGACGTAATCATGTTTAATTTGAGCCTCAAATGCCCTTATGAGGTAAACAAGGCAGTGACTTTTGTTTTTGCTCTGGAGGGAAGAAACAGGCTCAAAGAGAACCAATGCTTTGCCCACAGCCACCGGCACTAAAGCAGAAAAACTGGCCCCAAACCCAGATTTTCTCAAGTCCAGCACTTTCTGCACTGTGTTGGGCCTCAATTTTGGAAATGAGGAAGCTTCAGGACCTGTTTCAGTTTTGTTTTACGAATGGATTTGGCAAAGGAAAAAGGCAGTACTGTTAATCCTGGCTACAGCTACTGGAAAATGTGCTACAGCCTCCTCAGTGTGAGCTGTGTATTGAATTTAGAACCTCAAACAAAGCTTAGTAGAAAGAAGGAAGACAAAAAAAGTTTCCCTTTACAGTCCATTTTGGTTCCCCATTTGACTTCAAAGCAAGGAAAGAGAATGAGGAAATCACATTTTTGTTATTGTTACAGTCACATTAATTATGCGATGCTTTGTTTGGAAACACCATTTTCTTTTTACGAAACAGTGCAGCCCTTTGGAACCAGTGATAATACAAAGTTCAGCAAAATTCGACATGGCACACCATTAACCTGCACGATGATAGAAGGATAATTAAGATGTTGTATCTTAATTATCTGGTAGCAGAAATGTGAGTCTCCCAGTCTCAAGACTTAAACAGTAAGCAGTGGGCTGTACAAGATCAGGAGGCAGTCACCCCACCCTGCTCTGTTCCCTCCCCTCTGCCCTCCTTGGAGAAACCCGTATAGATTGGGTTGTCCTCAGAACTTAGACATATGTGAAATACATAGGATTTTGGAACGTGTTTTTTGTTTTGTTTTGTTTTTTAAGGTACTAAAACAAGTAACAGATTGTACCTTTTGAGTCAGGCAAAATGAATGGAAACTGTTGAAAACTCCTTAGGAAAAGGGATCATGGTAAAAGCGAATCAGGTTTCACATCAGCTTTCCCTTACTGAGTCAGCTGAGGAGCAAAGTAAGAAATGAGTACAAACTTGAATAGGAGACAAGAAGCCCTCCTGACTAGGGGTCACTGATTTGAGTTAAAGAACGTAGAATGCCTTTCTATGAAAAACCCTGTGGTTTGAATTGGGAACAGGGGATTCAGTGTGATTCAGTCACAATTTAAATAAACATATATTCTAACTATCTCTATTAAAGGGGCCAAGAAGCAATAATACCTCAGTAGCAATGATCACAGCTAATGCTCAGATTTTGGTTTCTAAACATCATTGCACTGGGCTTCTTCGAGAAACTGAATAGGTTCAGGGCTAGGAGAGGCAAAGTACAAGGTAAGCCTGTTCTGTACCAAAAAGTAGAAAAACATTCAAAGACCTATAGGTTTATGTAAAAAAAAAAAAGATGTAAGATCATGCAGGCCCAAATAGGGATAAGTGGTTCCCTGAGGAAGGAATCTAAGGAACAGAAGCAAGTCTACCCACCAGTCATGTGGTTAATGATATGTAAGTGAGGCTTTTGAAGCTGCTTGAACTATGTAAAGTCTTAAAGACCCAAAATTAATCTTAGTCTTCTTTGTATATTCATTCTCTTCTTTCTCGGTCATAAGATTAAGTATTTAATTTATATTTATGGATTTGTTTCGGCTTTTGATTTTGTTTTGTTTTTTTTTTCATTGAAAGGGACTTTTGGAAAGCAACAAATTATTTGATGATGTAAATAATCACCTTGAAGGTTATCTGTTTTCCAACTTAAGATTTTCCTATACTGGATTTCCTAAAAGCAAAGAATATACACAGTCCTCATATTTGTACGTGTATGTTACAGAACTAAAAACTACAAGTTGTGGTGCATGAAGTTTATAAATGAATTTAGGTAATTATTTTAATGAGAAAATTAAAGTTCTAAAACATTGCAATTCGTTTAATAGACAATTTGATTCAGCCATCACCTTAAGTTTTATATTGTACTGTGAATATATTGAATGAGGTTTAATAACAAGTACTACTCAATTAAACACATAAAGTTTCTATCCATTATCCCCTACCACACTCCCCACAGAAGACTTAAAGGCCTCATAATACTTAAGGGCCTGTGTGTCACAGACCCTAGGACACAAAAGCAGGAATATCTTTGATAAGGTTATCACTCTCTAGCACTTCCTTCAAAATCTGGAGAACCCACCTGCCATACCTCTGAGAAGGACATTTTGATTTGATGTGGCAAAGTCAGATGAGCCACATGAAACTTCAAGAACATATTTCTCACATTCCCAGTTGCAAGCCTACCTATGAAATACAGCCTAATAGATGGAATGTCACCTGAAGTCTACAGAAATTAAAGGCTGATCCCTCATACTGTCCATGGGCTAAATCTGTAATCCTCAGAAAACTGACCTCACCAGCATGCCTCATCTGGGGCACAGGCACACACACTCACACTCATGCTAACACACTCACACACACCTATGTTTCCACTTCCCTGCTCTGGCTGATTGAGTTGCTGGTGTGCAGACTGTTTCATCATTGCAACTAGTACTTATTTTCTGGTCTGTACCCAGGCTAACTTGAGGAGAGCCACACTTTTCTGTGTGTGGATATGAGAAAAAGCCTGGATTCTTCCTTCTGGTTGAATTAGTGACTACAGAGGTTTCTTATACTCTACCTAAGATGGGTGACATAATCCAAGTATTCCCCAAGTCAGGTGCAGTTTGGTGGCCTCTGGCTATGCACATTGGATCAGGTACCCTAAATCATGGCCTAGCAGCCCTATCTCAGCCAGGGAGTTGCCTGACACCAGTCTTGGCATATGGGAGGCCTTATCTATCTGGTCAACCTTCCAACTCTCTAGAAATAGAGTTGTTCCTTCCTTAAAAAGGCATACTACAGAAGTAATTGGACCACAACAAATGGTTTTAAATTTTATCCTTATAATGCTCATCAGGGTTTCTCAACTTCAGCACCATTGACATATCAAACAGGGTAACTGTTGTTGGGGGCTTTCCTGTGTATTGAAAGATGATTAGCAGCACCCCTGACCTCTACTCACTGGATGCCAGTAGATCTTCCAAAGTTGTTGCAATCAAAAATGTCTCCAGGAATTTCCAAATGCCTCCTGAGAGACAAACTCATCCCCAAATGAGACACACTGATATACTCAAATAATATTGTTCAAGCTGGCTAACCATCTTGGGTTACAACACCTGAAATCTGTACAATTGCCTTACCATTTCATACTCAGCAATTACCTACATTATCATAATGCAGGTATCAACTACATTTTTAAAAGCAGAAAATATTGAGTGATCATAACAGTTTGAGCTATCGTAGTCTTGGTTTTAAACTGTATTCCTACTTCCTCTAGTCAAGTATATCTGTGACTTTTTTAGGCCCGTTTTTCCTGTCACAATACTCAATTCTAAGATAAACTGCAGTGCACATTTGTTTTTATTTTCTTTTGCCTAAATAAAGGACAGGAGGCAAAGTTACTGTTAACTGCAAGTTGCAGAGTCAGTATTTGTAAAACCTCTCAAAGTGCTTCCTATCACTTATAATACTGCAGGTCGGAAGTCAAAAGAAAAAAAGAAACAAGGAAAGATCATCTTTTTTAAATTGGTGTAACCTTCTTTATTTGTCAAGACCCTCTATTATCATCACTTTTTCTTTACTGGGATAGCATAAATATTTTTTTTTATGAGACATTATTGCCAACTACTCCATAGATAAGATAGCATTTATTTATCATTATTTCTACATAAGAAACTTGAGGACATTGTGTTTTTCTGCCTTTGTAGTAGCAATTTCATTTCAATCTCTCTCCAAGATGCTGACCAACTGTTTATTCAATCTTAGCCTGGGTGTTTTTACAAACCGTCTAAAACACTAGCAGAATCTATTGCTCTGTCTTCCGGGTGAGTCACACAGCTTATTAAAAGCATGTCAAGGCCAGTGCAAGCTCAGATAACTTGATAGTTAATGAAACAGAGAGGTTGTCTTTGTTTATTTTTTTTAATCTAATGAAGTCTCACATGGCCTAATGCTAAGGTTCCTACAGCCATGGTCCCTTATACTTTAAACACTTATATTTAAATGTGATAATTACCCTTAAATAATTACAGCAATCCAGGCTTGCATACAAAGCAACCAGAAGAATGGGATTGATAATTGGAAACTTTATAGAATAATTAGGGAAGAAATTACTTTCTCTTGGTCCTCTGTAGAAGTGGGAATTTTTAGAGCAGGGAGAGACTTTTGGAGTTACTTAGACCAGTCCCTTTATATTATAGAAGAGGAATCTGGAAGCCAGGATGGTCTGGTGACTTATCTAAGGTCAGCAGACAGCTGGTGACGGAAAAAAAAAGAGAGAGAAATTTTCCCAGTGTTTTTCCATTAGACCATGGATTTATATTATTTTTGGACATTTGGACAATAAAGAAATCTATTTGTTATTTAAATTGAGTCTTTATTATAGCTGTAATGCTAGACATTATATGTATCTCTTAGAAGTTTGTAGTACAGAGATTTGGGCATAGAGCATATATGACTTCAATACAGATTTCTGGTAACGTTTAGATATTGGGTGCATTTAAATTCAGTGAAGAAGAAAAAAAATCAAGTTCAATATTTTCTAATTTTTTTTTTTTTTTTGAGACAGAGTCTTGTTCTGTCGCTCAGGCTGGAATACAGCGGCACGATCTTGGCTCACTGCAATCTCCACCTCCCGGGTGCAAGCGATTCTCTTGCCTCAGCCTCCTGAATAGCTGGGACTACAGGCATTTGCCATCAAGCCCTGCTAATTTTTGTATTTTTAGTAGAGGCGGGGTTTTGCCACATAGGCCAGGCTGTTCCCAAACTCCTGACCTCGGGTGATCCGCCTGCCTCAGCCTCCCAAAGTGCGGGGATTACAGGTGTGAGCCACCGTGCGCAGCCTGATTTTAATGAAGAACAGATTGCATTTGAAACCATTTTGACCAACAGAGGAGACAGTGAAGTATTGCTGGGAATAAAATGTTTTCTGCCCATTGCTTCTGGTTTTAGCAATCTGGGGTAGAGATACCACTGAAACAGAAATCTGGTAGGAAGAATTCGAGGCAAAGAGACCATTGTGGATGAAGAGGCCCATCATTTTAGATCGAGATGAGAAATGACATTGCCTATTATCTAAGTTAATCTAGAGAGCAGCAATGGTCAGGAGCCTTGTTCTGCAGCCTCCACTGCCCAGTTTCAAGCCACAGCTGCTATACTGTAGTAACCTTGTCCACCTTTACCCCGCATGACACTACTATCATTACGTTCCTTTTCTTTTCAGGTAAGAACCCATGAAAAAGTTTTTGATGTTTCCCCCAGACTTTGTCCAAGCTTAGGCATATTGTTTAGTTGGTCTGAAGAAATTGTACCAAGTTTGAGTCTGCAATTTCGGGCAGAGAAGTTTACTCCATGGCAGAACAGAAACCCACACCTGTAATCTCCCCAGTTCAAATATGAAGCCACACTTTGCATGAGTAAGTACTCCTGTGGTTCAGATCCAGCTCTCACTGCCTCTATGGGAGCTAGCTCTCAGGCGAGTGGTCTGAGGTTTCCTTCTCTGAGGGAGGGGTGCTTCCTGCAGATAAGGGAGTAGATAAGTCAGAGTGTATCACATTTTCTATGAAGGTGATATTCAGCAAAGAAGACGCTGGTCCACATAAATTCTATTTGCAGTAGACTTGTTTTCTCATTTCTCATTGTCATCCTCAGAGAATAGCTTTCAACAGCAGGTTTGTGTGTACGTTTGGTCTGTGAGTCCATTTCAGTGAACACTTACTAAACACCATCATTGAGTTCACTGTTCTGACAGGTCCAGTAG